GTAATGTCCCCCTTTAAGGTCTGAATGAGGTTATAATGCAGATTGTTACATGTTCTGAGATGAGTGTCCTGCAGTATACAACACAGAGTTCTCCCACACTTTATGTTCCATTACATTATGTAATGATATGCTTTCCCATGTTTGCCATGGCAACAAACATCTTTGATATACAGTTCGAAGTCGACAGAACCAGGTCTGCTGCGGTTTTAAATCAAATTTCTGAAGCTTAAAATGTTCATAATAAAGAGTTCACTAATTGTCAAAGAATTTATTCATCTCCAGCATATCAATCATTTACAGATGTTTGCTTGGATTTATAAGCCATTCAGCATCATCTTTCATGAGGTATTATACATATTTTATGTTCATTTGGCATTTCTCATAATGTAAGATACCAAGATGTATTCATTGTGTCTATGTTATCAGTGTAATTATGTTGTGTGAAATGGTAAATGTGTACAATGCTATTGTTTTTTCCCCACATTTTGAGAAAATTAGTCAGTTTAATCCCCCTTTATCTGCCTTTGTCCTTCTGTTGTGGAACAACAAAGGAGGGAAATGAGTGATAAACGGCCTCATATCTGCGAGCATGAAGTTGTCACGAGAGATGGAGTGTCCTGTCATCAGTTATGCATTTCTCTGTTTCTCCAGTCAAATTAAGGTATAGCAATCGAGAGTGTCAGCGCTGTACCTCTGTGTTAATGACTGGTAGCTGGGCCCATCTGGAGATACTTACAAACTGTCAGTAGAATCACTTTGATAATGACTTGTGCCACTGTTGTGTGCTTTTTCATTTTAATCCTAATTGTGACAGTTACTGCGAGAGAGCTTCCCGGCAATGGAGATATTTTACTGATCCAGCTGCTCGGCATCGGGTTAGATGTCCACGTATCGTCCCGCCGGCCGGTGCCGTGCTGTAGGTGAGGCGTCTGGCAGCAGTTCTGTTTAATGAGCCACTTATTTTGAGGGGTTTTGATTAGTGAGATTGGAAACAATTAATGAATTAGCTGGAGGGACGCAGTGCATGATTTGCCGGTGTAATCTTCCTGCGGAGCGGCTCTCTTCTGGCCTGACTTATTGTCTAATTCCCACATTAGGAAGAACCTCTCCTGAGCGATTATGGTTTCTGTCTAGCAGCCGATGATTAAAACACACTTCAGAGTCAATGAACAAAGACTTGCAGTTCTCAATTAGTTGATGTAATCATTAAGAGAAGAGAGCTGTCAATTTCAATTATTTTTTATCGGACGAGTCTCCATGAATGCGTTCCCATTGCCCGTATCAGCTACGTGCTTTGACAGCCTCTTTAATCTGTCAACAGCTGACAGGTAAACTGGTGTGTTCCTGCAGCGTGGCGGCTTCTCTGCAAGGGGTTAAAATTGGGTTTGGACACTGATTAGGGGTCGTTTAGCAGAGTGGGGTGCGCTGGCTGGCCTGTCGGCTGCTCGGCGCTCTGAGGCAGCTGGAGCCGCTGGGGTCACCCTCGACTCCCTCCCCATGCGGCGGACCCTCCCCAGACGGGCAGCGCAGACACTCATTACTGTGCCGGCTTCAGACCTAAGTCTCTGTTAGCTGTCCCTGTAGCTTTACTCAACTCCTCTTTCCATCATAATTGGTTAGTCGATTTCACCTTTACTCCTTTGTTTACACGTCTGCTGCAGTGTATTTTTGTGTCTCTCTTTTTGTTGTTTGCTTTGTAATTGGTTGTGTCTTTCTCTGGAACTCCTTTGTCTAACCTGGGCTGCCACACTGTCTTTAAGCATGTTTTCTGACACATGCCTACTCATTAACTCCATCTCATCTGTGTCCTTTGCAAATAAGCCCTTTATTACAGACAATTTACTGAAGTCTCTCCAGGTACCTGCATGATTTTGTAGAATACACCATCCTAATTAATATGACCTGGAATTAGGCATAACACTCATTATGGTGTTAAACATTGCTCTCATGATGTTACAGTCCAAAGTAACATCTTCTATATTTTGTTCTACAATGCATTTGATTTGTGCTAATCTCGTTATAAATATTTATTGATAAATATTAAAATAAACTTAATTTTATTTTTAAATTATAAGTATTGAGAAGATATATCAACTAAATAAAGTTTAAATACTGTAATTACCAAGCCTTTGTGGCAGTTTCATTTTTTAAAATGTGGATGTTTTAACACATAGTTAATTTACTTAATGTTAAGTTTTCAAAGTACCTAAAACATGTAGTTTTGTCATATAATTTAATTTCTTTTGGTCAGCGATTTTTTTTTCCTGCTTTAGCCGTGAATGATTTTGCGGTCTTGATCGGCAGTTGAGAATGCGAGAGAATTCCATATTGGCTTTGCTGCCTACCTGTGAGAGAGCAGCTAAATGAGCATTTCCCTCCTGAAGCTGTGAGCGGTGATGCATCCTCAGGAGACAGTTAAACACACCCCCTAGCATTCTACACTGTTGCCATGGCTACAGTTCAGCTGCCCTCACTCATGCCCAAAGACACATGAACCTTGACAGATTGACACATTCTATATGCATTCACAAAAACATATGTATTGTTGTTTTTGATACGTGGAATTTTACCTGTAAAAGTTTCAGTTCCTCTTCAGGAAAACTTTCCAGAAGTAAATACGATAAAGGATAATACTTTATTGATCCCTGGGGAAAATTATCCAGTAAATATCCTATGAAGTTTAGCATTAGAATGATTCATATATGTGAAATATATTGATATATTTTTTTTGCATCTGCTTTTTGATTTGCTATGTATACCGTATAATGCTTGTATACCGTATAATGCTTGTATACCGTATAATGCTTGTATACCGTATAATGCTTGTATACCGTATTACCGTCACTGTGAGTCCATTTTCTCAGTTACAAGTTCATTTTCACAGATTTTCATTTATGTTTTTAATTAGTGTTGGCAATCTTGTGTATCAGAGAATTAAAGTTTTCAATGTGTCAGTGATATTTAATCTGAATTTTAAAATGTCATTCAACTGTCACTGTTATTATGAGTGAAAACCAAGGAAAGATAATGTCCTGTTCATATTTGTGTAAAGTGTGTAAATCTAAAGTTACTGGTGTCACAAATGCTGTACCATGTCAATCGATAATGTATATAGTAGTTGGAGCTTTTTATAATGAACATGGTTGCTTTGTAATTACACATGCAGCATCATACTGGGCATGACATCACAGGTAATGGATTTCTATATTATTACATAATAATTTTCTAATGAGTTTATGACTATATTAGGAAGGCATTACTACAACAGCTCTCCAGCAAAGTGCTATCCGACATGTCCGCTGATCATTTCCAGACTGATTAATATTGCGAGGCACTAGCTGCTGATGTCTTGCGTGACCTTTCCTGCATGTGAATGTTTTCATCTCTGATTCGCTCCTCCGGTGCTCGAAGAAGTCATAAACTGGCAAAGCGATCGGCCTGTTTTCAGGATCTGATCAATGATTCACCATGCTGATATAGTTTGGGCATTAATTATAATGGCTGTGGCATTCAATCTGACTGATCACGGGCCTGCAAGAGCATGCAGACAGTCCAGGGATTTCTGTTACTGGAGTATTAGAGGAATATACAGTAGCTCTTCCCAAGTGGGTCCATCTGACACGTGCTGTGAGGTCAGCATCTTCCCATTTCCATCAGAAACTATTAGGCTGGAGCTTTAATAACACGCAGAATTTGACCTCCACACAGGTCTGCAGGAAGCTTAATGATATTAACCATACCAATGCAAGACACACTGCGTTTCATACATCAGCTTTCATCCTATTCATGTTTTTAAAAGCATTTACGACTGGAAGGTCATTGTGTAATAAAGTCCATACAGACTGCTTTCTGAGTATAATGAATGTGGCGTTTTCAAAATCATATCATTAAAGCTTCGCTTGACATTTTAAAGGAATATGAGTTTTGTTGCGTGCTCACTGATTAGCGTGGGGGCTTATAGCCTAGTGCAGCGGTTATGAGGATAGAAGCTCCGGTGTGAACCTCTGTATGCTCGACCCTGACTTTCACATTTACATCCAATTTTCAATATATATAGGAGCAAATTCTATTTAGCAGGTGAGTGATAGCCACTTGTTTTCTAATTACCCAGTCTTATTTGTGGGAACCTTTTACTATTTTGCCTTGATGAGGGTACATTGACTTATACATCAAGGTTATTGAAGGTTTTCATAAAGAAAACTAAAGTTCTGCTCTTTAGTCTATTAATGCCACAACTTCGGAGTCAGTGGCCCATGGTTTCACAGAATTATTGGTTCTTCATTATATTTTTGGATTTTTTGTTTGATTTTTTAGAAGGAATTGTAGTGGTGATGCTATGAAAATGTTATGTGAAGTCTTGAGAGTTGACCCAAGACTGCTGACTGCAGCCAGACGCAGCAGAGATCCAGGTCATACTTGCAGAATTATGCTTTATTTTGTCTGATATTTCCGGCAAAGAAACAGCTTCCTCCCAGTAAGCTTCACTGATGGTGCAGCAATAGCAGTGGTGCTGCAACAAAGAAGATCAAATAAACTTCTCAGGAAAGGAGCCTTTTTTGGGGAAACAGCACACACTTCACAAACAGGGCAAATAAATTGTCCTTTGAATAGGGCAAACCTGGCCCTACAGGCCTCAGTCCGCAGGGAAACCAATTAAAACAAAGACAGCGATGTGGAAAGCTCATTACTGTCACCATGGGGGACACAAGATTAACCCCTTGGTTGCACAGCGCCGCCTGTTTCTCGCATGGGTTCTCCTGGACGCCGTTCGCAGAGATCAGACAGCAGCTCCGCTTCTGCTTGCTTCTACTCCCCAACCTGACTGACTCCTGGTTCTGTTGTCCCCCTTGATTGACTGTTGGATTGGTTCCTTACCTTGGCAGGACTTTTGCTTCTGTGTCTCACCTTGCCTGTCTCCATTTGTCACCTTGACTGGCTCTCCTTTCAGACCTTCACTGAATCTTGTTTCAGCTGCGGGCATTTTCTCTTTTTCTTTCCAGCTCCCCCTCAGTGTCGTACGGCCCTGCAGCTACATCCCTTTAGGACATCTCCAGGTGCTGCGGAGACCAAGTCTTTGTTCCCCCGAAGCAGGTGGTCCTTAAGCCCATCAGAACAGGCCAAGCTCTCCCCGACATGTAGGACACTTATGAATTTAAGTGCTGTGCCTGTAACTGAAGAATAGCTCACTTAAACCTAATTTAATCGCTTCGTGTGAGGTGAGGTGAGGTGAGGGGAGGGGAGGGGAGGGGAGATGAGATCAGATGAGATAAGATAAGATAGAAATTTATGGATCTTTGTGAGGGGAAATGTCTTTCACAGTAGCAATAAATACAACAAAAGATAATGTAAGTAGAAAAAAGTACAACAAAGGATAATGTATAAAGCATGCATCGTACATTTAAATAAGAAATTTAAATAAGCAAGAATTAAGCAAACAATGTCCCACTATAGCGGGCTGGGCCACCCTATAGGCAAAACAGGCGATTGTCTGGGGTGTCCTTTAATTAGCTACTGTGTGTGTGTGTGTGTGTGTGTGTGGGAGGGGGGGGCAGGGTCTCGCTTGGGGTACGGGATAATGTGTAAAATGGCAGCTGTGAAAATGGCATTTATACACTCAGAGTCTGTTCTGAGTACAGATCAGCATTTTATGGTGATGGCTGAAAATGAGCATCTCTAGTGTCCTGTGTTGCATTTGGGAGAGATGGGATGACAGAAGGACATTCAGAGATCAGTTTAAAACTAAATCACAACATTGGAGATGCTGCCGCTCCATTCTGATATCGACTTGCCTCTCCACCAGCGATACTTTGTTATTGACATGAGCACTGGAGAAAAACCTTGCGGTCTTCATGATTTTAAGCAGAATTTTTATCACCAAGTATCATCAAGGAGAAGGAAGAATCACTAAACTGAATTTGTCAGCTACATTTCTGAGATTTCCTGCTACGGTGCCAATTGCCATCATGCAGGTATTAACATGGTTTCATATTAATTCAATTCAAATGTTTCAGTCATAATAGATAATCTTTGACACATATCAGTTATCTAATATTATTGCACCTTTTGTGCATCATTTAATTCCTGTTTAGTATGCTTACTTAATTCCCATTTAGTATGCTTATTTAGTTTGTTGTGGTACTATTAGTGCTGTGCGTTTTCTAATAACAGTTTTTCTTTACACACACTTCAGGAATATTTTTTAGTGAAATTAAAAAAACAGCTGAATTTATTTTGTCAGGTATAGTCCACTGGATCTGGAGCAGGTGCTAATGTCACTGCTAAAGAAAAGGCTTCCTTGGGGCGGCTTTCCTAATGAATCGCAGTTCGGAGAGGCACAGTAGCTCCTTACCTATTACAGCAGCTCTCCATTGCTGGTGTTGCATCCCCTCCTGCCCACTCGAGTCCCTGCTCTGTGTAATTTTCTTGTATTCCATTATGATGTTTTGCAAGTCTGATTCCCACTTTGGCACTGAAACAGAAGCGATGGCTATAGCAGCCGATTTGCATGAGGGTGTTTTTAATTCCAGTGTCAGGGATCGTTAATCATTTTGCTTCTGAGACGTCTGAGAATGTAATGAATACCACTAGGGCAGAATACGTCTTTAATTAAGAAAAAAAAAATATATATTTCTTAGACCTTCAATAACTGGCACCGACTTTAAAGAAAACAAGGAGAATAGCGAAGCTGTTTCTGTGCCTCTAAGTGTCTCCCACCTGGGAGATGTACAGTGAAGCCTCTCCGCTCTAGATACAATGAAGGACGTTAAAATGTCTTTTTTTCCGTAACTCGAGCCAGTTTAATTTAACGCTGCAGTTTTAATGATAATGGTGAAAGCTGGCAGAAATTCCACACAGCTGTTTCTGACAGGTGAGACACCATCCCACATGGACACCTTTATTATTTTGATGGATGTGGACGATAGATGCAAAGCCCATACACATCACTCAAAAGAAAAACACTCCATTGTCAAATTGTTCATATTTTAATCATTCCATCCTTTAACTCAACAACTTTTTTCTATAGTTGTAATTTTTTTTATACTTACGGCTATTGAAATAATGTCTCTTCCTCTTTTGCCGGTTCTGTGGTTCCCTTACTGTGCCCCACTAAACACTACTAAAGTTGGTCATACTAGTGTACAGAATATGTTTTGGTTGGGAGAATCAATTTGTTCTCCAAGGGGGGAAAAATCATTATATGGAATAATATGTGGAGTGATGTTTTTGAACATATGCTAAACCTCACTAATAAACTTTATGAAATAATTTAATTTAAATTAATGAACTGCATCTGGTAAATGAGTGAAAACATTGCAATTGTTTTGGATGCGAATCCCGTGATTGGCGAATGTAAGCAATGCATATTTCAAGAAATATGACTGCGGGCTTGTGGGTTTTCTTGATTCTCTGTGTAAATATAAATGCATATAATATCCCAGAGCCCTCAATCATAGCAAAGGTTACAGTGACAAAATAATCAATGCAGTGCTGGAGACACCTAGCAGGTCTGGCTTGTGGGCATGGAGGGGCGGCCAGAGGCTTCGTCTTCTCTGAATATATTCAGTTGCACTTCTTCCTCAAATCGTTGTCTGCTGATCCCGTCATACTCTGCGATGGAACACCCACGCCGCACGTTTATGTTAATTATTTATCGATGTGCTCAAACTGACTGTTTCCTGCTCCTTGTTTTCAAAGCACTGTTGTATTTACCAACAAGTCCCAGCCTGGTGTGTTAAATTTGCTTTCGTTGCAATGCTATACTAATTAAACTGCATGTAATCCTTTTGAAAGGCAGAAATGAAGTTGTGTCATGGGTTTTGAAAGACTTTTCTTGAGGCAGATTTATAAATAAGTCCAAAACGGTATGATGCATTATTTTTTGACATAATAACCTTTTCCAGTTTGACAAGAAGGGCATGTAATATCTGTCAGTCTGCCAAGCCAGCAGCATATGCACGTTACACATAACTTACAGAGGAAAACATTATGAAACTGAGGGCTGTCACATTCAAAACATCACCATTGGTGTTTTCAGAGGCAACCACACGCATCTAATTACATGAATTGTGATCAACGTCAGGAAGGTACTGGGGAACTTTCTAATCCACCTTAAGATACACATAGGAAGGTACTGGGGAGCTTTCTAATCCACCTTAAGATACACGTAGGAAGGTACTGGGGAGCTTTCTAAT